AGCATGGCCACAGACTTGGGTAGACCAGATGAGCTGATACAGTTCCTTTTCTGCGACCTTATTGTTCAGTTCACAGTCTCTTTGTCTAATGGCATGGCTACGATCTTCCAACAACGGACTTGTCTGATAGCATAGCCACAGACTTGGGTAGACCAGATGAGCTGATACAGTTCCTTTTCTGCGACCTTATTGTTCAGTTCACAGTCTCTTTGTCTAATGGCATGGCTACGATCTTCCAACAACGGACTTGTCTGATAGCATCCGACAGAATCACAAACCGTTAGAGCTGATGAAGCATTGGAAATCACACAAGTATTAAACTGATAGCTCATCCGGTCTACCCAAGTCTGTGGCTATGCTATCAGACAAGTCCATTGTTGGAAGATCGAAGCCATGCCATCAGACAAAGAGACTGTGAACTGAACAATAAGGTCGCAGAAAAGGAACTGTATCAGCTCATCTGGTCTACCCAAGTCTGTGGCCATGCTATTAGACAAGTCCGTTGTTGGAAGATCGTGGCTCACTGCGTAAAATGTAAATGGTTTTGTTATCCTATATATTTTGTTAACTAATGAATACTTTTATTTAAACCCTTACTGTTAGTTTTACCGCAAAAGAGAAGGTTTTATTTTATTGCAGTCCATAGGTCTATGATTTGTTTTACTTCGACAAGGTTATGCCTTTTATAATAATATTATTAGAGAACGTATTGTTACTAAGCTACAAGCATTTTGGCACATGTGCAGTTGGTTACAAAATAATTCTTTGTTTAAGAGCAAAACCACATTGGGCTAACTGCTGTGTCCACCGCGGGGAAGCTAACCTTGGATTTTATCGATGTAAGTCCGTAAACTTACCGCTGTCTCACTAGAGGATTTTACAAAATAAAACTAACTTTAATGACATTATTTGTTTGTGCTCTGTGCTCACCACGGGTTTCGAAACCTGATTTTTGGTCTTTAAGCCCTCAAGCTCACCACTGAGCCACTGTTTTCATGCTGTATTTCTTGATGAAATTATATTAATTTGATTATTTTCTTTTCGGTTAAATTTCATTATAAGAAAAATATACAAGCAAATACTACTATTATCAATCAGTGGGAATGAAAAAAAATTATGATTCCCCCTTTTCAACCAATAAAAAACGTAATTTAAAATTTTAATTAGGAATGCACGGGTACCCGGCCAGATATTCGGCCCCGGCCGGGTATTGGGCTACCCGGTAATATTCGGCTCCGACCGAGTGTCGAAGTTAGGCTTCTGAGCCCTAATCTTTGTGGCAACTAACACGCTACTGAAAGTTACAGTCAATAATTGGTTTAGTTATATATATAAAAAAAAGTGTTCCGGGCAACAAAAACTGACTGCCTGCTGAAAGTCGAGCATTCAGAAAACAGTAGGGGTTAATAACAGGCATGGCTTGAGAAGTGGATTTCTGGGGAAGGCGGGTTTTTTGAGAACAATAGGGGTTAAAGTTTGAGAAGTTGGGGTTAGGCATTGAAAGTTGAAAGTAAAACTGGAATGTTCTGTTGGTGATTATTCCGTCAAATATAATAAACGTTAATTTTGTTTTTGTTTCTAATTTTTGTGTATGTTTTTTTTAGGGGGGAAGAACCCGGCCCCCGGTAATCGGCAAAATTTTACTACCCGTGCATCCCTAATTTTAATAACTTGAGTGACAGCAAATATCTATATCCGAACAATTATAATGAGCGTATATTCCATACTAGAGAGGCCCGGCATGGCCAGGTGGTTAGGGCGCTCGACTCGCAATCTGCGGGTTCGAATCTCCGTCACACCAAACATGCTCGCCCTTTCAGCCTTAGGGGCGTTATAATATTACTGACAATCCCACTATTCGTTGGTAAAAGAGTAGCCCAAGAGTTGGCTGTGGGTGGTGATGACTAGCTGCCTTCCGTTTAGTCTTACACCGCTAAATTAGGGACGGCTAGCGCAGATAGCCCTCGTGTAGCTTTGCGCGAAATTTAAAACAAACAAATACATAACATTACTATCCGAAATACGTGTTCGATCTTCATTAAACTTACAATCAACTTACATTCGTTTTGTTTGGAAATTCGCATTAGCAGTTTCTAATTTTGAACTGATACACTAGAGTGAAGATAACTGGTCAATAGTACCCACCACCAACTCCGGGCTACTCTAAATGAATAATGAAATATGACCGCCAATCTCATAAAGCATCCAAAGTGCGGGGCGCGATTTTGTTGCAACAAGACGCGAACCGTGGACCCTCGGATTAACAATCCGGCATGCTAACCATTAGGTAATGGATAGCGATGGAATTTTTACAGTTCCCATAGAACTGGGAATAATTGACATTTTTTTGAATTTTTCGATTAAAAAATTTCCGCTAATACGAATAAAACAAATATTGCAGCTGGAATGTTTTGATTTCTGTCATGTCGATATTTTTCATATTATAGAACTGCCTAGGTTTTTTACAACTTTGCTGTCTTTTGCCTGTTAACCACACAATACAAAATAATAATGCTAGACAACGATAGAAACATTTAATAATGTCCAGAAAAGCACACCTGAAAGCAACTCCAAAATCAATTGCACTACTAGTTATGAGCACGTTTCATGTGTCTTGTTTTGAGAATACATGAATGCTTCGGTACATTTTTCATGTGCTACCCACACTGGAAAAATGACACCCCGATCTTGTATTTCTTTAGATCCCTTGCTAGTCGATTCAACTTGGGTTATTGTTTCTGTACAAATGTGTATTATTGTCATCACCTGGTGACAGGTGGAGGTTACCGTAAGTAAGTGCGTGAATCATTGTGAATTATAGCGTGTGTTTAAAGTGACTGTGGATATTAAGTGTATTACAAAGTTGAATTGAGAAAGAATAAACTAGTTTTATTTAAGAAAGGACTTGTATCGCTAAAGTTTCATCCGAAAGAAATTATACGGGAAATTAACAAACGACCAGAGACGTAACAATAATAATATCACTTTCAAGTTGGACCAATGTCCCGTAATCATACATTACCTATGTCAGTGATCATTTTCACCATGCAGTATATAATCAAGGAGAGATTAACTCCCAGTTCATATTAACTTGTACAAAACCTCTGCACCAGCTGTTCACTTGAATATCACCCACACCAATATCAAGGCCTGGTTGTTAGGGCACTTGACTTACAATCTGCAGGTTGAGGGTTTGAATCCACCGCACCGAACATGTTCTTCTTTTCAGCCGTGGTGGTATTGTGATGGCCAATCACACTATTCTGTTGTAAAAGAGTAGCCCAAGAGTTAGCGGTGGCTGATGTTGTCTGTTGACTAACTGCTTTTCCTCTAGTCTATCACTGCTAAATTAGGGACGACTAGCGCAGATGGCCCTCGAACAGCTTTGCGCGAAATTCAACACAAATCAGTGGCTTAACAACAAAAGATGGCCCCATTCATAATTTTAGTTTACAATTCTGTCACCTTTGGGCTCCCCCTCTTCCCGCAATGGGAGGGGGGGAGCATTCCTTACAACACTGGGACAAACCAAGCCAAACACCACTAGTGAACGTACAACACAAAGACTTGGCCAAGCATATATAAGCTTTACGTAGCAAGCAAATAGAAGTACTGTGTAACAAGTAATATTAATCCAGGGTGAGAACTGACACAAATTTACAAATGCATAATTTTATTCCCAAGAACACTAACAAAATGCAGAAGTTTTACATAAACGGCTAGAAACATATTCTAGCATATATCTTAACAAAGTTTTATTCTTTTTTAGTTACAAAAGGATAAAATATGACAGTTGATCATTTTAATTAACAAGAACATAGCCATTGCCATAGCTGAGAAAGTTTTCAGAACAAATTTTCTTTGACTTTTGAAAATTGGTCTCATGCTCCCACGGGGTTCTGAATCGTAAGCATGTCAAGATAACATCAAATGATACATATCATTGGTTCTTGAAGTCAATATTAGCCCTTATTAAGCTGACAGATTTCATACGCACAGTAAGACTATACATGAATTTAGAGGAAGCTTTTTCTAATAACTATACCAGATGTTATTGCGACCGAAGCTCGAAAATACGGTGAGTGATTACACCACGCAAAATTTATGTGTACAAACTATGGAAAAACGATTTATTTACAAGAACAGGGTTAGAGAGGAATAAGTATCTAGGAACGTGGTGTCGACACTTATATGCATTTTCGCAGAAGTTCCTTATTCCCCGAGACACTTACTTCAGAAGTGATATTATTAATGCTGTATAACTTCAACACAAGATTCATGATGTAGAAAACATATTTTATTACATTTCTCTCTATCCCTAATGCTTTAAAACCAAATCCGTTTTTATGAACCATCCTCAGATTATTCAATATGTCTGCCAAGACGTGGAATCGTATGATGTTTTGTACAGGGTAAGATTTTACTTTTACTCTGTAGCGCCTCCCAGTGGCACAGCGGTATGTCTGAGGACTTACAATGCTAGAATCCGGGTTTCGATTCCCGTGGTGGATAGAGCACAGATAGCCCATTGTGTAGCTTTGTGCTTAATTACAAACAAACAAGCTCTACAAACAATAAATACCAACACTGACCTTCCTCAGCTTGGGTTGGACACAATGTACTTCCTAAGATTGCAACACTAACTTGGGTAGGGCTTTAATGCACTTCCGTTTGGGGTAATAGGGTTGAGCCAATTCCTGGAAAAAAAAACTGCTCATATAACATATAAAAGTGTTCGGTTAATATTTTTATGAAGGTCATCGAAAATAGACAAAGCATATGCTTGGATTGGAGAAGGTAAATTGATATACTTATTTTTCGTTAGATTCGTCAACTTTTTGCTACCTACGTTGTACTACAGTATAATTTTTCTTAATCTATTCTTTTTCTTCTTCTTGAAACTCGAAAGTAATTTGGGTTTTACTTAATATCAAACCATAGTTATATAACGTTAAAAGTTTGGAAGGAAGTGGTTTGACAAACACGGGTCATGTATCATATTGTTTGTAAGACTGTAATTTTTATCATAACATGAAAATAATTTTATGCCTGAGTTCACTACCACGCTTGACTCAATTGTCCGTCTTTATCTCTGCCTGTCTGCAATTCAATTCCGATTAATTTGTCTCACGTTATCTGGCGCACTTATATACAGGAATAGAGGGCGCCTAGAACATACTGGATTATTTGTGATGTTCCCCGATCCTTGTAGAATATCATGACGTGTTACCAGCGTCACGTGACTACCGCTGTCGTAACAATATGCTTCAAACGATCTTAATTTTACTAAATATTACGTTTTGAAGTTACACTTTGTGACTGATTACTATGTGTTATGACATATGGACAGCAGGGTGAAAATTATCAAAGCTAGTTTAACTGGCTTTCTCTGTTCTGTATACATTTGCACAACACTCCATGTGCACTTTGTTATCTATATAGTACGAAGACCATACAGTTACATTACTTAAATTTATTACATACAAATTTATTTTACACTTGCCTCGTTTTCATTGGTATAGACTACAGGGTTGAATAACTAATATTAAAACCACTTTGAATATACAAATCAGCAAGTCACGTAAGCACTATAGCCGATATAGAGTCGCGGTAGAACTGAGTGTAGTAGAAGTATATTTTGACATTTGTTTGGTATTTCGTAGGTAGTGTGATAACACCAAAAACTGAACCCTTTTGAGAAAGATATGTAACAGCCCTTTCTGACGCAAAATATTCATACGCTCAGATAATAACGACATGTTCAGAATATGGATTTAGAATAACCGAGAGGTGAATACATAATGGTATTAGAAAACAAAATAACTTGGATCAAAGTGGGAAGAAGGACCATCCAGAAAGAGACCTGCAATGGTCGTATTCCAGCTATATTAAGCAAAACACATTGTTTTGCAACAGGTGAGATTCTATATACGCATAGGTCAAAAACAAAAGTCTCCAAGGTGTCCCAG